TTTATTTATTTCAATTTGACCAGAGAGGAACAGAGTGAGAGAGAACGAGAGAGATAGAACGTGAGAAAGCAAGCCGCCAGGTTCAACCATGTGGGAGTCATGTGCCCTTAACCACCATACCACCTGCTGGCTCTCAGGAGCTGGGTCACTTGCCTGTTACCACGGAACAGATACAATTTCAGGGTTATGAGGAAATTTGGCTTTATTATTAGATGCAAAGCAAGGAGAGCTGGCAGCCAATGCTGAAAAAAAACTCCAGTCTCAAAGAAGGCCTGTGGGGATGTATTTTTAAAGACAGAATTAAGAGTTCAAGAGCAAAGACCCCCTGATCCGCTCTTGATTGGTTCAAGAGGGCATGATCATTGCATGGGCATTCTTGATTGGTGGGGACTTAGATAATCATTTCTATCTTTGGAGGGAACAGTTGTCAAGATTTTTCATACCACCTGATCTAAGGTCTACGTGTTTTCCATCAGAAATGAAAAATATCTTAAGACTGAGTTAAAATCTTATCTTGTCCTTTAAATCCAGATTTGGAAAACTTCTGACCAAAATTGCTTAACTTGCTGTTATCTCAGCTGTTCCCTTATGACTCGTGTCAGTAATCATTTACTACTCATTTTAGGTAGCTCCTGTTAATTTCAATTCTCTTCTTACAATAAAGGAAAAATCCAGGGCCTGACCCTTTCAGAGGATCCCTGATTGGTTTCACAGTCAATCTGAGCTTGTTTTGTGCATGGGGTACAAAAAACTGTTGATTTTCTCTATTGTATGCTCATTTTTAAATTTTATTGTATAGTTTAGATATTGGTTTACTCATTTCCAATAAAAGCATTGAAAGCTGTGATTTTGGTTTGTATATCCCTGGTGTCTAATGACACAGAACATCTTTTTATGTCCATATTGGCCATTTCTATACCTGTTTGGTGAAACGTCTGTTCGATCATTTGCCCTGTTTTGAATTGGGTTATCTTCTTATTGGTGAGTTGTAAGACTATTTTATATTTTGGATACAAGTTCTTTATCAGATATATGATTCGAAAATATTTTTTCTCAGTCTGTGGCATACATTTTCATTTATTTAATGATGTCTCCAAAGTGCAAACATTTTTAATTTTGATAATGTCTTATTCTGCAATTTTTTTCTTTTTATCATTTATGTTTTTATTTAATGCAAAGTCATAAAGATTTTCACCTATGCTTTATTCCTAAAGATGTATTGTTTTAGCCCTCACAATTATGTCTAGAAGGATATTTTTGCACGTGTATGAGTTAATAGTCTACATTCATATGGTAAACTGATTTTCACAAAGGCAAATTCAATAAGAGAAAAGGTTAGCCTTTTTAAATGAAAATAATAGTATTAAACATTAACTGAATTAATTGAAAAAAAATGTGGCAATACAAACTATAGAATATTACTTAGCTATAAAGAACAATGAGACCCTGACATTATATAAAGTGGATGAATATGAAAGATTTAATGCTAAGTGAAGCAAGCCAGACTATGAAAGACAGACATTGTATGTCCCCCACTTAATATATACTGAATATCTGCACTCTATAGCCGAAGCAGAAAGACTGGACATTTTAGTAGCAGGAAGGGCAACTGAAGATACTAGAAACAGTATTGGGGGGTGGTAACAGAAGAGGGAAGGAGGAGATCAGGGGAAAAAATAGAAACATTTAATAAAAACAAAAATGAAAAACTATTTGTTGATGATAAAGGTCAGTATTGTAAACAGAAGATTTTTTTTTTTTTTTGAGAAGTTTTTGCTATAGGACACATACACTCGCCAGAAAGACAGAGAAAGACAGAGACAGAAAGCGAGAAATCACCCCCCAGGGGAGATGGCCACACTGCAATTCCCTTCTCCTCCATTCTCCTCTCGGGATCTTGGGCGTGCATGCACGCACATACTTCCAGCGTGAGTTTAAGCCATCAGGTCCGGGACTCGAACCACAGACAACTACATGGGAGTCCAGTGACATAGCCGTTATGCTAACTGCTGATTACTAAACAGAAGATTTTGAAACAACTAGATTGTCTACATGCTCAAGACAGATCAGGATGTGCTATGACAGTGAGGCCCATCTGAGTCACCACCAACAGTGGGTGGATCTTTCAGTATGACATAGCATAGGTCAAACAATATGTTTATTAGAAAAACTCAAAGGGCAGAGGTCAGCAAAGGAATGGAGGCATGATTTCCCCAACCTCCTACCCTACATAAATAGGAGGACCTGTCCATTGTTGGACCCACAGTGTGTATTTGCATTCCAGTGTAGGGACACTAGTATCTTATTTTTTTTCCTTTTTTTTTTTTTAATTGCCAGAGGACATGGGTTATTACCAGAAAGAGAGAGAGAAAGAGGAAGAAAGTACCTCCTCCAGTGGGGCACAGTAATGCTGAAGCCTCTTCTCCATTTTTTCCTCCTGTTGGGATTTTGGGCAGGCACACACATGCGCTGTGTGTGTTTTTCAAGTTTCTGGGGCCAGAATTTTCACCTCAGTCAGATATGTGGGATCTAGCTC